ATTTGCATCATAAATATTTGAACTTACCTGTTATCGCTATTAGGTCAATTTCAGAGGCTGACGTCGCATAGTCTAAGAAATTGAAGAATAAACTGATCATAGGGCCTGATCAGATACCTAGTTTTCTAGTTAAAGATTGCATTATGCCGTTGTTACAACCCTTAGTTTACATTTATAACCTAATTCTGAAGTCCAACTCGTTTCCAGAGGCTTGGAAAGTAGCTAGAGTTACTCCGATATTGAAAAAAGTGATCCAGCGCAAATTGATAACTATAGGCCCATTTCAGAATCTTGTAATTTTGCAAAATTATTTGAAATAATACCTTACACGTTTATTTTTGCAGCAACGAAAGAGTCATTGTCTATCGATCAGCATGGGTTTGTCGATAAGAAATCATGTATCACTAATCTGGCTTGCTTGTCACAAACCATTTGCGAAACCTTGGATGACAGAAGCCAGGTTGATATCATTTATATGGACATGGAAAAAAGGCATTTGATAGAGTAGATTTAGGTATCCTATTGAAAAAACTGAGTTTTTTTAGGTTCTCTGAACATCTTTTGTCGTTGTTTAACTCGTATCTTTTTAACAGGAGTCAATATGCTGATTATAAAGCCTACTTCAGGAATTCCTCAAGGCTCGAATCTAGGACCCTTACTATTTATCTTATTTAATAACGATCTAACTCTTGACTTGCACTGTTCAAAGTTATTATATGCAGATGACGTTAAAATATACAACTATGTCAATACTATCGATGACTGCGTTGTCTTGCAGCAAGATATTATCACAGTGTCTTCATGGTGCCATGCCAATCATCTTAACTTAAATGCGGACAAGTGCTTTGTTGTATCTTTCACAAGGAAATTAAACATCTTAAATTGTAACTACTACCTTGGACACGTTAGCCTTAAGCATCAAGAGCAAATCGATGACTTAGGAATCATATTTGATCAAAAAAGGTCTTTTTCAACTCATATCGACAAGGGATTTATCATGAGGAACGCTAGAGAATTTTCTATTTCAGTACAAAATATTCTATATATAAGTTATGTACGTAGCAAGGTGGAGTATGGTATCTTGATTTGGTACCCACATTGTGCAACACACATTAGTAAGATAGAACGTGTTCAGAGAAAATTTTTGAAATATATGCATTTTAAGAAAACTGGTTTATTTCCGGAAAGAGGATTTGAATACTCTTTGCTGCTTAATGAAGCAATTTTTATTTCTCTTAACACACGACGTATCTTTCTAACAACGAGTTTCTTGTACAAACTCATTCATGGAGACATAATATGTGAATTTTTGTTAGGTAAAATTCCATTTACCGTGCCCAGAACACCAGAAATTCTAGAGTATTTTATTGTGAATGCACTAGAACCAACATTTTAGTTAAGTCGCCTATTTTGATAATTTGTAACAATTTTAGTTTGATATGTAACAGCTGTGATATCAATTTTTTTCCCCTATCTCGCTAGTTTATAGTTCTATTTTGCAGATCACATTTAATATGTAACTTTTTCGAAATATCTTTTTTATATTATTCAAGTGTTTATTTTTATATAACAGTTATATTTTTTCTTTTACGTAAAACGAAATGTTCATTTGATTTTACGCATTTCCTGTTATTGGCTGCACATGTACCTGTTGGAAATAAATGTCTATCCATCTATCTATCTATCAACACAGATATCCTGGACAAGCTGTATTTCTTATACCTGTTTAGTTATTTGTTGCTCAGGGAAAGAAAGAATTTAATTTGCTGACAGTTACCTTTGTGACAATCTTGGGATATAAAAAATTAATTTATAGATTCAGATTTTACTTCCAAGATGGTTCACATACTAGCCGAAAGACTGGAAATGATTATAATTTATGGTGCCCGAATTCAATGTGCTCGGCAAACTGTGGTCACGTTTGACGCCAGACATCCGGGGAAGATAACTTCGCATAGGTATGTTTTGGACCTTGTTACTAAATTTACTCAAACTGGATCTGTTTCAAATAAAAAACGTGATAGTCCGAGAGTTTTGGATGAAGCTGCGCAAGTTAAAGTTTTGGATCATTTTGGAATAAATCCTAATACTACACTACTCAAAATTGTAGCTGCGACTGGTATTTCATTAGGCTCTGTACACACAGTTACTAAACTCCATAATTTTCATCCATTGAAAATGAAAATATTGCAAGAGTTAACCGAAGATGATTTCGATAGGCGAGTTGAGTTTTGTGAACAAATGACTGCAGCGATTAATGTTAATACTATTCATGCAAAGAATATCTGCTTCAGTAATGAATGTAATAAATTGATTTGTTATTAAGCATAACTGCAGGTATTGGAGCAATGAAAATCCTCATGCTTTTGTATAAGGGCACACTCAGTACCCTCAAACAATTAATGTATGGCAGGCATTTTAGGAGTGATTGGGCCATTGTTTATTAATGGAAATTTGAATGGAGACACTTATTTGAATATGTTCTAAAATACCATCAGTCCGCTTATCACTGAAACCATTGGAAAAAAAATGGTAGAGGAGGGAAACCCTATATTTGACGAGGCTGAAATATATTTCCAGTAAGATCCTTCTCACTATGTTCTTCCGGTTCGGCAATGGCTAGACTACGAATTTCCAGCTAAATGGATAGGGCTAAGAGAGCTCATAGAATGGCCTGCTAGATCTCCCGATTTGACGCCATTAGGCTTCGGAAGCTGCCATGATATCCCACATGTTTTTGAAAATATCCGTCAGGAATTTAAACATCGCCTATATCATTGTTTGGCGAATAACGGGCAACATTTCGATTACTAATTGAAATAAAAAGTGATATTTTCGTGCGTTTCTGTTTTCTATCGGAACAAATTAAGATAAATGAAGATTTCTCTAATTTCCTTGAAAACGCATCCACTGATTATTAAAAATAAAGGACTTAGAAAGATCTTTCAAACAAGCTATTACTTGATACCGCTTGTCTTTTAAAATTTTTAAGGGGATGACCCTGGGGGCAGAAGGTGAAAGAGTGTGAAGCAGTTTTTGATTAAAAAGTTGTCCCCCTTGACAAATCTTTTGACGTGTCTCGGCGTTTTTTCAAATCAACATCCTGTATGCTTACATTGCAATATTTGTCGTCAAAATTGTCTAGCTTAAGTGCATATTTTTGGCTAATTTGACTACCATTACCTACCAAAGTGACAAATCAATTTTCTCTGGAAAGAATATTTAAGTAGCTATTCGTACTGTGTGTACTCACGTAGAGCAGATGGCAGATGTACTATGTGATATGAACTGCTCAATTATTGTTAACCTGAATGACGCAAAGAAACGAAAGTAAACTTTTATTGACGGTGCAGCATTTGAACAATTCTGATTAAATTCGTGATTTTGGAAAGTGAACAATAAGAAACATTATCTCCACCAAACCAATAGTGGGACACCTTGCATAAATATAGTCTACTCGGTTGTTATAAATAGTTATCGTGATCCGAGCAGATTCTTGGTTAAAAGCAAATATCTAGTTAAGCACTGAATTTTGGACTGAAAATTCTATTTAAATGTACAAAATTCCAATATAGAGTCCATACGATAAAACACTGTTGGTGATGATAGTCGAAATAAGATAACTCGAATTGGAAATTTCTTCGTGTAGAGGGAAAAAGGTGGCAATAGCAACATGCAATTTATTTTGAAATTCCATCTCGAAAAATGTCAGGAACAATTAAAAATTAAAAAATAACTAAGGCTTGGCAATGTCACTGCATGATATATCATACATTTTTTCAATCAGAATAAAAAACTCCTGTGGAAAAATCCAATCTTTAAGAAAAAAGAAGAAGTTGATGCTGGAGAAGAGAGATGAAATGTAGTATTGAAATTCCAATTATCCGTTTACCAAGTGTTTCAAATTCGACCCTTACCATTGGGACCTCGAAAACGGTAAGATATACGGAGTTGCTTAAATAGAGGCCAAGCTTGCGTTTTAAGGTAATTAAAAAAATGCCTAAAGTTACGAAGTTCGAAGTACTTCCGGAGAGAGACGGAAAAAACAGAATTTTCTCAAAATCGTTTCAATTATTTCCTGACTTTATTTTTAATAGGATAAAGATGCACGAATAAAATTTCAATATAACGTTTCGTCTTTTGTCTGCTAGAGTCAACTTTATTTTTTCTTATGGATGTTTGCACAGACGAATAGAGTTTCTAATTTGATATTGCCAAACCTTGGTTATTTAAAAAAAATCGACTGCCACCACCAACTTTGTTTTCTCATATGGACGTTATATTGGAATTTTGTACTTTTAAATGGACTTTTCAGTCATAAATTGATAGTTGGCCAGGAGTTTGTTATTTAATGAAAATTATAAGGAAATAAAAAGATATGGTGAAACCTGAACACAGAATAAAAATTTATTGATGCTAATAACAATAATAATCATAAATAAACACAAGTGAATCATAGCAGATGTTCAAATTGTTGTCCGTTATTTTGTAGGCAAAGCCTGAATCTTCTCTATATACCGTAACTGCTCGATTTATTTCTCTTTTTTTCAGTCTTCTAAAATCTGTTTCTAAGCAGGAATTTTGTTGACTCCCTAAATACGCGGCTTTGCCCGATTTGACAGTTTCAGAGATCCTCATGATAAGGGTCGAATTTGAAACACCCTGTATATATAATCGATGTGTGTTACTACAGAGACTTGTAGAGTGGGTTCAACATGCGTGGAAGAGCATCGCTCTTAGACAGAAGTCTGATGAACTATTTGAGATTTTAAAGGTATTTAACCTTATATACGACATACCGTACGTATAGATTAGGTGTTGTGCAATAGATTGCACACTCGAATCGGCCATTTGAAAAAAGAAAATTGATGCAGGGGAGACTACTGAGGCTTGAGACAAGGAAGGATTGAGACACTACATTTATTTCCTAAAATCGGGTATGCAAAGCCATCTGTTGATTACTGGTTAATAACTTTAGTCAAATCTCTCACCGCTTGGCCAGCGAATCGGCGAGAGTAATTAGTAGAACATTGTTGTTAGTGCAGGTGCAAAGTGGTGGCCAAAACTAAATTATAATTTTGTGATATCGTTGTAGTTTGCCGCAAGTTAAAGTGAAAATTTGAGTTGATTGCTTAGACATTGTGACCTTAGGTATGTTGTGAATTATTTATATAATTATACCATGAAATAGAATTTCAACAAGAATTTCAAGTTAGATTATTTCATGAAATGCTATATAGGGAGACATGAGACAGTTCTTTTGGGGAGACATGAGACGTCTCATCTAATCTAAAATTCCGGTTAAAAATCCGATTCACTGGATATTTTTAAACAATTAAGAAATGCTAATCTGATTGAGATATAATTTTAGAAGTACGCGGCTTAACCACTAAACAAACTTTTGTTAGACTAGAAATTTTAAGCCCGCTTCCGAATGCAGGTCCTGGAAGACGGATTACAAAGCGAAAATGTGGTTCCTCAAGAATTCTTACCGACACACCAGAAAAAGAAGCAATAAGAGGCTGAAGCAACTGCTCGGAAGATAAAAAAAAGTTGTTTTGTTGAAGTATGACGATCTTTTATCAAGAACAAACAAACAAAAATATTTATAGAAACCTGCAACTCCACAACAGTCTTCTTCAAGTGATGAAGAGGAACAAAGCGAGCTGAGCGGAAGCAGGGAAGATATTTCAGATGTTGCAAGCTACGAAAGAAAAGTGCTTCAGATGAAAGCTCTTGAGGATGTCAAGGCCTTCCACGTGGGAGACTTCGTTTTGGTTAAGTTTTACACAAAGACTTCAACTATGTATTATGTGGGTCTGGTAATATCAAAGGAAGATGATAAATACTTGCTAAAATTTATACGTCGTCACGGAACCACCTGGAAATTTGTTTATCCACCAGTGGAAAATATTTCTTCAGTTCGAGAACAAGATATTATCTTGAAATTACCATTTCCAAATGTAGGTGGAACCGAAAGAGTCAAATCTACTCTGATATTTGGTCTGGACTTACGTTGCTATGAAAATGTTCGTAGATTTTTTTTATTATTGTCATTATTTTTTTTAATAGACATTTTTCGTTGTTGATTAATAATTAACAAACTCCTTGCGTTGTAGATTTCCTTTATTTTTTGTTTCTTCAACAAAGAATACACGTTTCCCAAAAGCTTACAGTGTATCAGTGCTCCCTATAACGTGTCTCAACGCTCCCTTGCCTAGGGAGCCTTAAGACAATTTACAATTTCAATAATATTTGGGAAGCATGAAACAGTATGGCAAGTTTAGCTAAGTCGCACACAATTCACTTGCCCGATATGAAATTGCAAATTGTATAATGTATAAGAAATAAAATTAATTTTTTGCCTCAAGCCTCCCCAGTCTCCCCTACTCGTAGCCTGGTAACGGTTTTGGACGTTTTCTGAAAAAATAGACTCATCTTAAGGTTGCTGGTTATCATCAATGTTGTTTATTCAGGTTAACACAAAATATACTGAATTGGAAAGTTCTGTTGTAAGATTTTTATTAGAAAAGTTCTCATCTGAGATATCTCAGCTATTAATTTGTTGAGCTCAAAATTGGTTAATGCTTTTTTCACTAGACATTTATTTCATCTGCAATAGGTCGTACATGGGTTAGGATAATGAGATATGCCTGTTTGAACATTCTGGAGCGATAAAGCCATTTAATTTAAAACATAGGGAACCGAAAATACGACTCTTGTTTTTGTATATTCTCTACTTTGTCTTTAAACGGTCATATTTTTCAATACAGTTTCCATACCACAACAAACTTTACAGTTACACTCACTTGAACCACACTTCATATGACGCGTTATGGTCCTCCATATTCAGCACACACTTGTTCCTGAGTTCGCCCTTATAAACTTGTAAGGCGAACAGAGCGAACACCATAAGACAAAAGATGGTCAACGTCATTACTTCCGCCAGTTGTTTGAAGGAGTGCAGCAGTGCGTTGATGATAGTTTTCAGACCTGGAACAAAAGTTTTTAATATTAGTTGACTTAGCAACAGTTTCTATGGTATACCATTATTTTAGAAGCGCTCATTAGAATGTTTCCAGTATATAGAGCAAAAACTCGAGGGGCGACAGGTTGATCATAATTTTTGAAATGTCACTGGCGAGAATCACAAGTCAAAATTATTAATCAACAAAAGCCGGTAAAAGCTAGACTGTAAGACTGCAATCTTCCCCTCGTAGGCAGACGATTTTTTTTTAATAAAGACATTATTTGGGAATTTCTTAACCGGCGTCCATTTTCGCAACGGTGTGATGTTTTGAAAACTGCCGAATAATAAAATAACCTTGAATTTGTATAACATAATTTACTTGCACAGTACATGACAATAACAAATAACAACAAAAACAAAACAAGAAAATAAGCGGATAAATGAGTCCGACAGGAAGGAATACCTCTTGCACATGGGTGGAACTAAGGTACAGTAGTGGAGCATATTCCGTCTATAGTCTTATCGCCTGACTTATTCAAACCAGTTATTGTATAAGCATTTGTTGGACCTTAGTATCAGTTTAGTTTCCTTTAGAAAGGGGTTCCGCGACAGCGGTACATTTTGAGGTTATATTTCCTTTATATAACACTCGATTTTTATCATCTGTTTTATCAGCCAGAAATTTCTTAAGATTCAAAAAGAAAACATAACCTCATAACTGCATAGTGCTGTCGCTGATACGGAATAGTAGAAATCTAGGAATACCCCAGCCTGTCTGAAGAAGAGAAAATACTAAAAATCAAGGAGGCCATAAAGGCGTCCTACAATTATTGTAGGAATAACTGACAAGATGGACCTAAATAAAGACATGCATATATGGTACACTGTACTGTGTATAAATTAATACATATAAGCGGTAAATATTCAAACAGATATTAAACACAGAGTAAACATTATACACAGTCAAATGCTTTGCTCAGATCAGTAAAAACTGCAACGCATGAGTCAGATGGTCGAAAGCATCTGAGATATTATTTAATAAATGCCTTCCCAAATTGAAAGCCGAACTGGCTATTATTAAAGATTTCGTATTTATTTGCATGAGACAACTAGATCTGATCTGATCTAGTAACGCATATTCGGACACAACTTAGACATCAAATCGTAATTAAAAAATTAGGTACAAGTTATTTTTTAAACCAAGAATTTTTTGGTGTATTCTCATTTAGGTAGAGACAGTAGCCGTTTCATCAATTTTTAAATTCCTTAGTCTTTCTTATACCCTTGATTTCAGAAGGAATATCATTCATCATCAGATGAATGTCTAAATAATGACTTTTTGATGTCTGTTTCTTGTTGTCCAATACACCCTGTAATTCATATGTAAAGAAATGGTCAACATCTCTTAAGAGCGACGTTTAAGCTTGTCTAGTTTGCATAGGTAGTCCGAAGTGTTTTTCAGTATTCGCGAGGATTCATTATAAACCTGATATTGACCATCAAGACAAAAGATCAGATCATGTGTTCTCAAAAGATACTTTGACTTTTCAAAGTCAAATTTGAGGTTGTTTGCATTGCTTTTGAGGTGTTTGAGCTGTATAGTATTCGTGGTAGTGCCCCTTACTTACATAAGATGCCGGACTGGAAATTGAGTTTTTTCTCTGTACTGTTCACACGGAGCACTAATAAATATTGCCAAATGAAAAAAAAAGACAACGAAAATGCAGGGCTACCATTTATTCCACATTTTTAAAATAAAATAGATTCAGCTCACGCATTTATACAAGAGCATACATTTGAAAGTATTTCCAACTTGTATTCAATGATTAAAAAATATAGGAGGTAGAAAAATGGTAAAATACCTTCAGAAGACTTCTATTATACTAAAGAAATAGGTAAACATAATATTGCATAGCGATTGAGGGAGGAAATGATCAAATACTCCACGAATATCACAAACTTTACCATTCCTTAGAAGACTAAGAACATGACACGTTCATGTTTAATATGACACTTATTTTATTTATAAAAAATTTCAATAACTTGTTATATGCTTATTATATTTCTTCAAATAAGTTGATCGACTTCATCAGTAGGTTGGAATTACTGAGAGAAGTGTAAATAAGTGTGAGTCACGATACACCAGTGAGTTGCAGTGGGGGGTCGTAATTGACTCACTCACAAAAAACCTAACCTAAAGTTGTTATATACTCACTAGCAAAGCTAATAGAACACCTGTTGTAATGTACAAACTTTATAGGTTGATTTTCGATATTTTGAAATCAAGAATAGTAGTAACTGACGTAGAGCTGTTAATTCTTCTTCCTCAGTACTTTTTATGATTTTTACTTTACATGGCCGTACGAAGCTACTTAATTAATGCATTTTTGCTTGGGAATTTTGTTACTGGGAATATTTTAGAGAAACAAGGTCTAACTGTGTGATACGACATTTTCGCTTCCGAGTAATCATCTATTTAAATTGCTTAGTTTGGAAAAACCGCACGTAACAGCCACTAAAATTGCCTGTTTCCCCATTTAAACCAACATAGTAGCTTCCACCATTTCTGAGATTGATGCGAGATGTCAGATACACTTCAAAGCTTCGTTAGCTGAAAATTTTTGGTTGACCATGATTGGGCATTCAACTTAGAATTATCTAAGGTACCATCTTTATTTACAGCGGGCCAGTACAGTCCATACTTAAAATAGGCCTCCTTTATGCCCTAGGACAGTGGTCGCCGCCAGCCCGTCAATCGCGAGCTACCGGTAGCTCGCAAAGGCAATTCTAGTGGCTCTAAACATATTTTAAAAAGGTGTAAAAATCATAGCTTCCGTAAATTTTGTAAATTATCATAATAAACATAAGCAGCGGTAGCACTGCGGTGAGCGATCTGTTTGAGAACGATCTCGATTATTTGAACGGAATAAATACCCAAGGCGCGGTGGCAGTGCTTTCAGTTTGAAACTGAACGGCACAAAGTCCAGCGGTTGGCTTAGAGTTGGCCTGCAATTAAAAACATTATGAGCAGTAGTAAGAAGTTGAAGACATACCATTTCCATTCGGAATGGGAAGAAAAATGTTTCCTTACAGAAGTTAAAGGTAAAAATGTATGTTTGTTATGTAATACATCTGTTTCCGTTGCTAAAAAGTGAATATCGAGTGCCACTTTAAACTGCTCATTCGAATTTTGAAAAATCATTCCCATTACGTTCTGCAATCAGAATGGAAAATCTGAAACAATTGAAAAATCAGTTAATTGGACAATATACAATGCTTTTAAAAACACTCGACAACAGTAAGGCTGCAAGTGAAGCTTCATACCGGGTATTCCCAGCCCAACTAGCAAAGTAGTGCAATAATAATTTGTTAAAAGAACTGTTCAGCCGTAAGAGCACTCTATTGTTGTTGACTGAACACCAAAATGCTGGCTTAATGTTGTGTGGAATGCAAATTTGCTTTCTGCAGCATATTTGTTCTAAAATGAGGTGTTTAAAATATTCTTATAGCATAGTTATATGACACCTTATAGGACAAATTTTGAACGGTTGCATAAACGTTTATACAACTATTTTATACGGCATATTCGCACAAAATAGTTGTGTTGTGGCATCCATGGTAACGTTTATACAACAAACCCGAGCCTTGTAGTTTTGGTGTGCACATTTACTACTTTAGCCAACAAATTGCTCCCAACGGAAACACTTATATAACTGTCGTTTAGTAACTGTTAAAGGCTGTACATCTGCAACAATATTACAACTTTTATAGTACAAAATTGCTGTGCTCGGCATAAGTATGTTGGTATACAACTTCACCATAACCTAACTTTCTGCTGTCATCTTTTCAGTTAAAATGCCATAACCAATATTTTAAGACATGCATATTGGTTTAAAAGGTTTTATCAACTGTTCAAACAGGAGATATAGATCTGGTACAAATTCTGGGTAAATCGTTCGACTCTATCCGTATTTCATTTGCGAGATTTGTCTAATTGTTGTATAATACTTGCAGACAATACCAAAATATTCTAATAAACCAAAGGCAGCATGGACGATGCCATGATTATGCATAACCACCCGCCATATTGGGCAAAAATATATTCTTCTATTGAAAATTAATTAATTATGTTTCAGTTCGACATTACAGATATAAAGTGATAAACATTAGTGTAATTGTGTCTAAATATAGGATTTGTGGAAGATTTAACGCAGATAAGTTCAGTTTTTCATCTTAAAAATCTAAACATACTTTTGATCATTATTAAAATACGAGTATGAATCCCGTACAAATTGCGTAACTACTTTGCACTATAATCACAATAAAATTTGCTGGGCAAGTAATTCAATAGCCCTATATCACAGTGTAGAAGTTTATCATATACCTGTGTATGAAATTCACAATGGCCGATATGTAAGTAAACCACATGACTGTAATGTGTTAGTTATATATTCTTCACTTCGCCTATACAATATATAAAAAATAGTTTGGTTGCAATAAAGTAGAATCATGTAACAGAATAGTTGTATAGTTGACAAAAACTGAACCTTGCACTGACCCAAATGTTCTATAGTGGCTGCAAGAGGTTTACACCTTTGTTGTATAAGTGTTACCTGCAGCCCTTATACAACCTCTTAAATGACTGTGTCCTATTAGGTGTGCCCATTCCGCTTGTATAGCTGGTCCAAAAGCGTTTTGCCAATGTTCTTACAGCATACAATGCTGTGTAAGGAAGACTGTATAATCGTTCTTGCAACTCTAATAGGAGTGATAATTGTTAGTTGGAAGATAATTATACAAAAGAAGAAATCTTATGAAGACGAAAAAATATAAAATAGTTTTTGGAAGCTGCAGATTCATTATCTGCCAACTTTAGAAATAAAGACGAGATAGTATCTGCTATAATATCTATGCAACTTTCTGCTAATACAGTGATGAGACGAGTAGAAGTAATGAGCAATGACATAGTTTTACAGTTAAGAAATGACTCCGATAACTGTGCTTATTTCTCACTGCCGCTGAATGAATTCACATATGTCGTTGACACTTCTTAGATGACCGCATTGGTCAGGATGGTTTTTAAAGATTCTCCGTTTAAAAAAGGTATTTTGAAGTTTCTTGTACTAAAAGGACAGACTACTGGGCAGCACTTCTTTTCTTCTTTTACAAATATTATTTCTTCTGAGAAAATTCCAATATCGAAAATGGTAGGCTTGACAACCGATGGCACTCTAGCTATGGCGGATCGTTCTAAGGGTCTCGTGGGGTTATGTCGTAAAGATAAAGGTTTTGCGCAATTTCTCTATTACCACTGCATTATCCATCAGCAAGCATCATGTGGACATTTTCTAAGACTAAACAACGTTATGAAATTGGTAGTAGAAATTGTGAACAAGATAAGAGCTCAAGCGTTACAAAGGAGATTATTCAAAACCTGTCAATAGGGGGAACTACTGCTTCACTCTGAAGACCGTTGGTTAAGTAGGGGACGAGTGCTGAAACGTTTTAATGATATCATCTGCTATAATTCAATTTTTCAAACAACGTGATGAACCGGTCCTGGAACTGGAAAATTCAATCTGGCTTAGAGATTTTGGTTTTCTTGTGGATATTACAGAAAAATTAAACCCACTTAATTTGCAGCTTCATGGGAGAGACAAAGAACTAGCAGAAATGGTTTTTAATATAAAAGCGTTTATCTAAAAGCTTGAGCTTCGGGAACAAAGCCTAATCGATGGTGATACCATTCTCCTGTTCTTTCAGAAAAAGTATTTCAAAGTCCATTAGAACCATATGACAGTGAATATCATGTAGAAATGGGCTCTAACTTGAAGGACAACTTCAAAAATCGTTTCAAGGAACTCAACGAAATTCTGTTACGCAGAATTTTAGCGAAGATATTGCTGCGACCGAAACGGAAGTGATTGCGTTTTAAAATGATTCAGCCTTCATTAGTATCAAAATACAAAATATATCTGGACTTCAGTAAGTAAAGATAAATATTCATTATTAAGTCGTGTTACCTTGAAAGTGAAAGCGTCATTGGGTTCAACCTATTTGAGTGAATTTTCTTTTTCAACTAAGAAGTTTGTTAAAAAAATACCGTAATTGACTTACATAAACATTTGGATAATTGTATTTGAATGGCGATATCAAATTATGCTCCAAACGTTAAAAAATTGTCAATGAGTCTGAGTGTCACGCTTCTCATTGAACACACATTTTTTATCTGACATGTTTTTGTTTAAAATAGTGCGTTGCTTTTTTATATTTTTAGTTGCCTTTATAAAATCGTATGTGACATGCCATTGTAACTGACGAAATTTTTTGTTTATTTTTCAAACACATACGATTGATAGGAAAGGATGTAGTCATGTAGTATGTATTAGTTATCAATTTATTTAAGTTTATTAGCATGTATTGGTATTAGAAAAATAAATACATGTATGTCGCATACAACTGTGATTAATTTCATTTAAGTTGGCTTACATTGCTTACGACTAGGTAGTTCACTGGTTATTCCAAAATTATCAAAATAGCTCAATACACTGAAAAGATTGGCGACTACTGCCCTAGGGCATCAAAGTATATGTAGCTTCCGCTACGCGGCCTATTTTGAATATATACGTAATATGATGACTACGAGAACTGTCATTACTTATTCAATACAGCCGATATATTTGTTTTTAATTTCACTGCTTTATTGTTTGACTTTAGCCGGTTGTCTATTAGCACAATTTTTTGTGTAACTCGGGAGTAATAATGGAATAATCGATTGTCTGTTTGCGTCTTAAATCCTGCGGCTCTAGTTTTATGCCCTAAATAGTATTCTCCCTGAACAATAAGTAAAGGGTAAATGCAAGGTGTTTGTATCATCAGACTTGAATCACCTTCACTTATGCATTAGTATTAAAGTGATATTGATTATTAGTAAGCCTTCTTACACCTACAAACACTCAGTTGGATAGTGACTTTAATCAACCACTGTATGCAGAATCAAATTTCTGAAGTAAGAGCATTTTTTCAAAAATGCTCATTTTATCGAAATCAAGTAAAACATTTTCCTGGCTAGCCCTGGGGTTCACAAAAATAGTTAGAGACATAATTAAGGTGTAAACGATATCAGCAATATTGCGTCCTGGCAATCAAAAACGATAAACTCGTTTTTCAAGGACATCAACCGCTGAGGCCTCAACTGATTACTAAGCTGCCAAAATTTGGTTTAATGAAGCAGAGTTCTTCAGGAGTAATTTAAGAAAAACTGATTTCGAGTAGCAGCCTCTTGAGATCCCCGTAGGAACTTTTCATAATATAGGAACTTATGGCGTTACTTGTTCTAAAAACTCACCAGGTAAAATCGAGATGGTTTTGAGTGCCCTGAGTACCCTAAATGTCCTAAGGCCGGCCAGGTTGCCGACGTCCATGCCTATGGTCGCGTAACCGCTGGTGATGACGACAAAGTCCAGCCAGTTCCACGGGTTGCGCAGGTACGTGTACTTGTTTAGGATGAACCCTTTCGCTATCGTCTTGATTACCATTTCGAGGCTATATACCGCTAAAAAAATATATCTGAAACAAAACAGAAAATATGTTGGAATTATAGTGAGTAACACAATAATTAGAGAAAACTTTGCTCAAAACATACAAAAGCAGAAAGTTCTGTTATTTCTGCTACAGAATAATCTGTGATAATAATAGAAATATGACAGTTTTATAGCTAGGTAGCTGTGACAGCACGATTACAATCTACCTAAATCGGCCACTGTGAACAATGAACAACAGCTATAGGTCGGAAGTGTAAAAAGGTCTTTATGATCGCTAGATGCCACCATTGCTTGAGGTAGCAGAAATTCAAAATTTCTTAAATCTCGTGGCTGTTCTTGATTTCAAGCAATGAGTTATATGAGGTATTAACATATTTTTTTCTGTCCAGTAGATTCTATTTTCATTGATCTCGTTAGAATACGTCTTTGTAATGATAAATCCAAATTGGCGTCATGGTAGGGCAAACCCGGGGCTCGCGGGTTCGAATCTCCCATCGGTTAATTCCTCGCCATGGATGTGTCTGTTCATTCTATGTGAAAAGGTAGTAGAAACAACAGTGTGGGAGAATTACACTCGCTATCGTTTTGTTTCTTAAGAATCTTTTCGCATAGTCAACAGTTTACAAGACATTCAAGGATCAAGTGCTACGTATTTTTTACTTCCACTCCTTGCACTTCAAGAACTTCAACCTGCCAAAAAACGTACGAACCCCTTTTTTAAGTTATTTTTATTCTTTACAAAAAAGATATACAGAGTGATTCACAATTCGTGAGCAAAAATGAAACATTACACATAGGACTGTATTATAAGGGGGTATTTTATGTAACACGAGCCTCGAGGGCTTCATTGAAGTTTAAAAATAAGAAGCAATTTTTTTAATATCTTCAAAACCGTCAACTGAAATGAACTAAAATTTGGTATGTCGATTTACCTAAGTACTGTCCACATTTAAAGGTCTTTACTTAAAATTAACGTGCACCAGTGGCGGAGATACAGCGGCTTAGTGGCATAATTTTTCTAAATGAAAATAATACGCCACTGTTTTTCGTCCAAAGGCGTAATTTTACCTTCAATTTGCTACAAATAATTACTCTTATGTTTTTTGCTAGAGTGCACTGTTTTCGTAAAAATAAAAATAGAACAAATTAGATCATTCATGAAGATCCAAAATACAATTAGTTTCAAAATAAAATAGGAAGCCTTGATGCCAACTTGACATTTCTTGGGAGATTTTATTTTTAGAGCTTTTTAAAGTTGTGTTATAAGGTTTTTATCGTTACTGCAATAATTTTTTTTAAAAGTCAAGTCAGTAACTTCTTTTTTCCATTTTCGAGTGTTGTCAAATGGAATTTTGCAATGATGAGTAAGTCGATATTATTTTTGTGTTCGGGTTATGTAATGGAAATACTGTTGCGGCTTCTCGGGAGTATCAACGTAGATTTTCTAACAGACGCCAACGTACCCCAAAGGATTTTGCGCGTTCATTTCTAAGATCTCGGCAATATGGAGTTGCCAAACATCCCGGAGTTAGAGGCCATGGTGTCCGGCATACTGTTCAAGAGCAACTGGAAGTGATTAATCTGGCGTTGGATGATGCTAGTACAAGTACTACTAGTTACGATTCCTTTAATTCTCATAATGAACATATTTGGTCGTTAAGAAATCCCCGTTCTGTAAGAATCCAGATTTTCTAGAAATGTCTGGTGCGGTATTTTTGTTGGCCAACTGTTCATGCACGTATTGCTAAAACGTTTAAATGCAAACTCATACTTAGCTTTTCTAGAGAATTACATAGAAAATGTGTTAGATGATGTTCCGTTAGTAACGAGAGTGTTATGGTGTCAGGATGGTTAAATACTCATTTTAGACAACGATGGATTGGCAGGAACGGACTCGTACATTGGCCTGCGAGGTCTCCTAATTCGAACCCCCTGGATATCTTTTTGTGGGGCGCTTTTAAATAGCTAGTGTATGCTGAACAAATTAATACTCTTGATCAGTTACAAGAAAGAATAGATAATGCATTTCATCAAATTCAAGCTACAACAAGTTTTGAGGAAAAACGTTTTTCCATATAAAAAAGATGCCGCACTTGTGTTCGTCAGAATGGTGGTCTTTTTGAACATTTATTGAAATAAAGCTTTGATTATCTGATTTGTTTTTTCATTTTTATGAAAACAATGCACTCTAGGAAAAAACACAAGTGTAATTATTTGTTGCTACAAGCCATCGAGGAAGACGTGATACATAGGAGACCCCCTTTAAACTGCGATCCTGTGTATGATGTCTTATTTTTGGTCACGACTTGTGAATCACCCTGTATACAGAGGTCTTGATATCATTACATGTAGGATTATCCTTGAATTTTCTGTAGACTGCTGACGATATGGAAAAATGCTACAGAAACAAAGCTATAGAGATTTAATTCTATACAAAATTGTTTCTATTACTTTTTATATAGAATCAATATTTTACGAGATAGTTGATTAGGCGCTTATCTAAATGGCAGCTAATCCACAGCACTATATGACACCAATTTGAGCCATCCTTAGAGGGCAATACTCAAACAATATCACCAAACGTTTTCTGTTGGACTTATTGTAGACTTTTTCTTATTCAAAATCTCCCTATTTACTATGTTTCTTGCAACTCTTCGTTTGTTGTCTGTCGGAATATTCACAATAGTAAGCAGCACTAATGGTTCTACCGTTTGGAGAAAATCGGCCAAGATAATGTTTTCACAATCGTATTGGACCTTTTGGATGTGAGGGTTCAATAATGATCCCAAATGTCGTTATACATTTCGTAGTACATTTATCGAACTAAGAGAGTAATCGGTGCCGAATTTTTGGGAACCACTTACATTTTTATTGGCATGAATACGTTGTCCAATCGCGAGAGTGTTTTTTGGCTCATTTTTAGTTCTAGGCTACTATTACATTCCACATGCCCTGTCCCCATTTCCAATAGTATAAGCCTTGTAGACTACCCATTTCGCTCACCGGCATATAATTTAATAATGGTTCGTTTATATTTAATTCGCCAGTACACTAAAACAATTATAAGTTTATGTGTCTATATGCGTAATTGTCAAAACGATGTAGCTGTCAAGTGGCTGTACATCTTATGACATAGGAGAGTAAGTCGTCGGTGATTTCTGAATTTCTAGTTCATACTTATGATCATTTTAAGACGCCTGCTGGAGGAGTGGCTGATGCTGTGCTTATATACTGAGTGAAAAAAAGAGGTAAACACCTAAGTATGTTTAATAGAATTCAAGAATTTTTTACATATGGATTTATCTTGCCAGGAACAACAAGTGATAAAATGGTCAGGTATTTTCGTCAAGTTTTTGTGATGGCTGCGTGTATTGTTTAGCGATAAAGAAGCATTCAGTTTTCGTACATTTACGGTGTCAGTTAAATGTTAAATTTCGTGAAGCTTATTGAGAAGCCTTTTTGTGATTGCTCAAAACGCCTAGAGTGCGTAGAGTTCCCCGGGTGACCCACCTAAGTGACTTTGAGAGGGGTCGAATTGTAGGGTTGCGTGAAGCCGGTCTATCGATTAGAGAAGTTTCTAGGAGGACCAACAGATCCTTACGCAGGGTTCTGCAGTGTGAACGACTGTGGACTCAGGAAGGTCGAGGACAGAAAGCGAGGGGTTCTGGACGCCCAGAGGGACCACAGAGCGATAAGACCGCCGGTTAAGACTTCTGGCTCTGAGAGACAGATTCAGTAGTACTCGAGCCATCACTAGCCAGTGGTTTGAACAGCATGGAAGAATGCGTAAGGTATATCGCCGAACACGACAGTTTGGCCTTTTTTCTTATCGCCCACATTGGGTGCTACCTCTCATAGCTGAACATCTGCTGCTCTGGTGTAGAGAAATAATTCTATGGGGCCGGGAATGGCATCAGGTGGTCTTTAGTGACGAATCTTGCTTCTGTCTAGGGATGCATGATGGTCGGGCAAGAGTGAGAAGGTAAAGTGGTGAAAGACGTGACCCACAATTTGACAGAGAGCGTTACGTTCACCACACCGTGAGAGTTATGGCATGGGGTGCTATTTCTTATGGTAGCACATCAACACAAATTTTCATTAAAGGCAATATGGCAGCCCGAGGCTATATTCAGGAAGTTGTGGAGCCTCATCTTATTCCATTCCTAAACACCATCCAAAACACAATTTCATAGCAAGACAATGCCAGACCGCATGTTGCCAGAGCATCGTTAGCCTTCATGGATCAACTCCGCATTAACTTTGGCCACCACAATCGCCTGACCTATCTCCAATTGAACATGTCTGGGACATGATAGGTCGCGGGCTCTTGAATTTGCAACACCCTTCACAGACTTTAGCAACCTTTACTCACGAAGCTGCAGTAGCCTGGAATGATACCCCAACAAGATATCGACCACCTTCTCAGCACGATGCCTAGGCGTGTCAATGAGTGTATAAGAAATCCTCAACACATTATTGAACCAGCTTCTGCAGTCAGTTTCCGAATCAAGCTGAAAATTCAATCATTTCACTAGTAAGGGACACTGAACATATATGCCAAAAATTATTAAAGTCGGATAAACATACGTAGGTGTTTACCTTTTTTGGTCATTCAGTGTACATACTGTACGATTCGGTGTTGTTGCTTTTGTACTTTGGATCTTAATAGGTTTATTTGATAAAGGTTTATAGCAAATCGTATACTTATAATCTCCCAGGAAATCGTAACGGATTGACAGCGAACTCTAGTAGACTTTCAGCAATTTATACAGATTTTGGAGGAGAATCTGAAAAATGTTCTTAATCGTACATATTGGGCAAATCTTGGAAATTCATAAATATGTTGCCAAACAAAAACGTGATTAGCAACATATTGCTTCACAGTTAGTATCTCAAAATAGGAATAGTAATAGAAATTAAGATCATAGTACTAGGTAAAAGAGTATTACATCTATCACAATAATTATTGTAATAGTCAACACTGCTAGATACTTCAACGTATCAGAATACATTAATTTGATATTC